TTTTTTTTTTTTTTTTTTTGTGATATTCTCTCCTCTTCCACACCTCCTACATGTCTATATTTTCAGGCTGGAAAAAGAAAAGCTGAACAAGGAAAACCAGAAGAGGGAAGAAATTGAAACTTTGTATATGACAGAAATTGAACAAAAGCAAAAGGAGGAAGAAAAAAATATAATTTTGAAGAACAAGGAAAGCGCACTTATAATAAAAAATCAAATTCAGGAAAATTTCGTACGCAAAAAAGGGGAATACAGCGGGGGGTGTAAATTGGTCTACACGTGACACCGCGCTTGGATATGCATAAGCCTTCTCATTTGTCATAATATGTTTTTTTCCTTTTTTGTCTCAACAGCTGAGGAAGCAGGAGGAAGAGAGAATGAAAATAATCGAGGGGAAACTGATGCAAAAGCAGTTTGAAAAAAATAAAGTCGAAGAATTGGAGAAGAAGAAAGAAAAAGTGAAAGAGCAACGCGCCCTGTGCAGTTACATGCTTGAGAGCAACAACAAGCACATTGAAGGTAACGGTCAAAAGGCGCAAAAAGTATAAGGACACATGTGGATAAGACAGGGCACGCATTAGAGTAGTTGGAAGATAGGTGCCCATCGCAATTGTGTGTCGTCCTCGCGAAAAGGGGCACAGACACCACCAATGAAGGGGCAAAAATTAGTGCCACACAACACGTGAGCTTTACGCGCATACATGCCGACGCACACATTTATGCGTACCATTTTTGCCCATTTGCACAGCCCTGAACGAGCAGAAAAAGGAGGAGAAGAGGAAGGATGCCGAGTATAAAAAAAGAGGACCATTCGAAAAAGCAGTCGAAAAAAAATTTTGCAAAAAACTTGTTCATTTTAACGCGCGCAAAATGGACATGGACGGATTTGTCTTTTCCCCCCCTTAACGCAGATTCGTCAAATACCAGGAAGAAAAGGCAACGAGAGAAAAGGAATACGAAGAAAAAGTTAAGCGAGAAAAGGAAGAAAAAGAAAGGGAAGTCCACGAAATACGAATGAAGCAGAAAAAAAATATCGAACTACAAGCGCACTTTGACGAAATACAAGCCCTGAAGTATGGACAGATAATATTCCCATTCACAGAGATACAACCGAAATGATAATATGGTTCTTGTACACCTATAGTTGCACAAATGGTTGGTAACGTTTTTTTTTAAATTTCCCTTTGAAGGTGGCAAAAGGAAGCCAAACGGAAGGAGGAGAAAACAAGACTTTTGGAGGAAGAGAAAAAGAAAGAAAAAATAGAGGAATTAAAAAAAGCCAGAATAGTTGCAATGGTTAGCACACACTTCTGTTGGAGGGATTCCACGTGCGGGGTCATCGCACAACTTGGCCTCGCGTTACGACGTGATTATACGTTGGCTGGAATGCTGTTGCTACGGTGTCTTCCTCCCCGATCACCTACGCAGCTTTCCGCGTCTTATTATTTTTACGCGCGAACAAATTCCATTTTTAAATACAAAAAAAAAAAAAAAATAACCTTTGCAGGAGCTGAAGAAGAAAAAAAAATTGGAGCTAATAGAGGAAGGCAAAATGGAGGCCGAAAATTCCAAAAAAATATTCCAACTCCATGTAATAATTTAAGAAAAAAATATTGAATCACGTGGATGTATTTTTACACATGCACGTCACCCTAGTACTCCGCGATGGAGATACATGTGTCGTCACACCACACATTTGGTGCAGGAAAAGGAAAAAATGCAGAACGCAGAAAAGGAGAAATTGAAGAAAAAAAATTATTATGAGAGTTTAACCAAGCTGGTTAATTTAAAAAAAAAAAAACAAACAATAAAAACGGGTAAAAAGTAGTGGAAGACATCCAATTGGTGATATAAAAACAGAGGTTCCCCCCAGGGGGGCTAATGATCCAGTGGCATGTAACACCACCGCAGTATGGAAAAAAAAAAAAAGAAAACAAAATGAGGCTATAAAAAAAGCACAAAAACTAAGCGAGTGTACCAAATGCACCCGCGCAAATAGGCACGATAAAAACGGCATGTAACCTACACAACCGTTTGTCTCCACGAACATATGGTAAAGTGGACAGCTTCCATGTGTGCACATGCATATGTAAATGGATAAGTGTACCTGTGTGTGTCCCCTTTTTTTTTTTTTTTTTTTTTTTTGCCTACTTAAACTTCCTCTTTTTAACATTTAGTTTTAAATTTAAATCAACTTTTGGTGGGGCCTCCAGCCCGAAGTTCTTCGCCGTCTGCAGCAAATTCAGGTTGTTCACGTCAAAGACGTCCTTCAGCGCGTAGGTAATGTATCCCTAAGGAGGAGAAGAAGGAATGGGTACGTGATAGACGAATGGGCTAATGGGAATATATGCTTGCGCACATAAATGGGAGAATAAACATCCTCCCTTGCAAAACATAACTGACCAATGCATGTTTGCATGCGTGCAGATGTAGACGCCTATATGTCCCATTTGCAGCAAACAGTATGAAACAATTTTTAAAAGCAACTATGGTCCCAAAAAAAAAAAACAAAAAAAAAAAAATATGAACAGTCAGCACAAATGAAAACAACACGTACACACACGTAATGAATTTTTTTTTTCTCTCTGCGACGTTCGCTCAACTTACATTCAAATATGATTTGAAAGCCTCCCGAGCCATCTTGTGTAGGTGGAAATTTTTAGTGACGATGGACTCTATGTGTGACTGGACATTTATTAATTTGCTTGGGTTATAGGCAAACTGATTAATTGGGATGTTATAAAACTTCAAATAATTTAAAAATTTTAATTCATGCTTCATCAAAAATATGATAGCAGAGCCATTTGAATCCTTTCCTCTGCATGTTCTTCCTACTCGATGGATATATTCCTTGGAGTCATCTGGGGGATCATACTGAATAATGTAATTAACATTCGGTATGTCCAGCCCTCTGGCTGCTACATTTGTACAAAGAAGAATAGCACTTTGGGCAGCGGAAAACTCGCTGAAACTTTTAAGTCGTTTATTTTGTTTTTTTTTCCCATGAATACAAAATGTGGGAATGTCAATATAATTTAACAAATCGTTATAAAACTGAACGGACATGCAATTGTTAAAGAAGACCATAATTTTTTTCGAAATATTTCTTTTTAAAAATGTAAATAGTAGGAGAAATCTTTTATCTTCATCAACTAAGGCATATCCCTGTTGCAGCCTTTCAACTGTGGCAATCTTCGTCGTTACTTCTATAAATATAGGCTTCTGCAGAGAAAGCCTTATTAGATTTTCCACTTTGGTTGTCTGCGTAGCTGAAAATAGGGCAGTTTGTCTTTTCTTGGGTAACCTTTTCACAATTAAATTAATTTCCTCCTCAAAACCAATTTGAAGCAATCGGTCAGCTTCGTCTATAATAAGCGAGATCAAATTTTTGTAAATAAATTCTTTCGTGTTTTGCATATGGTCGAGCAGTCTACCAGGTGTTGCAATTAGTATGTTTATTCCATGAATAAATTTTTTTTTTTCTTCATTCCGACTCATCCCACCAATGATTATTCCATTCGTCTGGGGAATATATTTACACAGATCTTTACATACTTGATAAATTTGAAGACACAATTCTCTGGTGGGAGATATTATTAAAACGCCCGTTCCATTTTTTGGCAAAAATTTTATATTATATAAAATATTTATGGAGGGCACTAGAAATGCTAACGTTTTTCCTGACCCTGTTTTGGCTGCTCCAAGAATATCTTTTCCGTTTAAAAAATGAGGAATACATTTGGCTTGAATTTCTGTGAGAGTTACAAAATTCAGCTCCTTCAATCCTTTTTTCAGCGCTTCGCATATGTCTAAGTCTTCGAACTTCGTTTCGCTGTAGAACGTTTCTTTCGTTTCTACCTTGGAGGGGGGCTTGACCTCCCCATTCGCGGTGGGACCACCTTGCTGCTCATCACGATCATTCGAGCTCGTTTCCGAGTCGTCCGATGCAGATTCCCCCTCACCGTCTTCGTTCTCCTGAGACTCCGCGTTGGAAGTATCGCCATGCTCCAATTCGTCCGTGGACATGGGATGATCCTCTACACTATTGTGACTTCCATTTTGATGATCGCTTGGGTTCAATTTTCTTTTCTTTCTCTTTTTCTTCATTTTTGCATTTTGTTTTACCTCATTTTCGTGTTCGTCCTCCTGTGCGTGGTCGTTACCGGTAATTAGTGCATCATTATTATTAGTAGGGTCACTTGATTCTGTTTTGGTGTTGTCATCCTCCATGAGTTCATTCATTTTAAGAGGCCTATATGGTGGTGATCTATACGAAGCCCCGCAACTGCAGTTCCCCTTGATGCTATTTCGAGCGTTATACGTGAATGTACGTGAGGACGTGGCCCTGCGTAGGGATGCCTATGCGCCTATATAATATATACCATGCGCAGATGTATATATTTGACGTATGCGTATATAATGTAACAAGGAGGACAAAATTTTGGCACAAAAAAAAAAAACAAGAAAAGAAAAGACGACAATTTATCTTACTCTTTAGAGACCTTTTCCTTTTCACAGGAGTTTCATTTGTTGTTAAAAAATTGGTTCACGCGAGTTTTATTTTGTCGAAAAGGGACCCGCGATTTTTAGTAAAAATTTACGACACTTGTTTTGGTGCCGTTCCATGTATGCAACTGAACGTGGTTTCATAAACAAAAAAAAAAAAGGGGAAAAAAAACGGGAAAAATTGATGCTCAAAATGGGGCAAGAAAAAAATTAGAACAAGGAAATCGGTGAAGGTTTACTTAAACAAATTACAAATGTTTAATCCTACCATATGGTAACATGCCCCTGCCTACATTTCCTTTTTTTGTTTTTTTCAATTTAAAAAAGGAAAAAAAAATTTCAAGCGTACAGGAACATGTGGAAATGGCTGACGCAGGTTGGGACAAGTTTTTTAAAAATTGGAAGACAATAAAATAACCGTGTGAAATGGGAAAAAAAAGAAGGAGCATCTGTTGTTGTTTTCCTTGTTCATATTGTGATATATTCAATTGAATAACTCTATTCGCAACAAAATATCCGCTAGGATTGTCCCAAGTTAGTGTCAACCATAACCACGTCATATAATGGGGGGGGGGGAAAAAACACAAATCCTTAATAATGTAGTGACGTTTTGGAATTAAACGGAATTATATTTATTGGGTCATTTTGAAAAAGAAATAACTTCAAAGCGGTTAAAAGGAAAAAAGCGCTGCTGAGAAAAAACGTCTACATCAAGGGGTATTTTTATGAAGACAATAATTTCCTGTTCCTTATGGGCCCTTGTTTAAATTAAAAAAAAATGGCACACAAAAAGGTGTGCCACTGTGTATGTATAACCATTGGTTGCTTCTTTTTTTTTTTTTCACCTTGTAATGAAAAAATTGTCATTTATACACAAAAAATGTAGAGGACGTAAAATTTTACCGTCTAGCAAAGGGTGATGCACAAATGGTGAAAGGAGGAATAGCAGGAAATATATGCTTGTAAGGAAATGTTCATGCGGGAAATATTGTGTGCAGATGTGTCCTCCCCCTGTTTGGAGTCTGTCTTGGGGACAACATCACACCGTATGTGTACGTTTCGGTCAGGTTGAAATGAAGGGTAGGACACAATTCGCTTTAGTCGTGCAGGCAACATATACGTAACTACTGTACTTCCATGTGGTGGGCTGCGTGTACCGTCCCTCCCAGTTGGCCCGCCATACACTTTGTCGCTCCCGTGGGATAAGCAAACAATATTTGTTTTTATTTCCAAATGGATTAAATCAGGGCGGATATAAAATTACGCCATCTAATCAAAGGAGACACTCCCATAATCACTGCTAAAATTGACCCACATATGGGTATATATAAATGACGCAAAAAAAAAAAAATAATTCCGTCCACCCTGCATCGTATGCCCCCAGCTTTCTCGAATATTCACAGAATTTGGAGTGGTATGTCATCCCAGCTAATACACCCGAGGCGGCATTGTTTGAAAATGGACAAAAGGGGGGGGCATCATTCTGCTTACTCCTTGCCACGCGTATAAAGCGGATGGCGAAAAGCACACTGTGCGATGTTGTTAAGGCAAAAATGAGGTAAACAATGGGGGAAACAAAAATATTAATATATAATAAAATAAAAAAGCGTATGTCGTTTTTTCCGTTGTGTGAATTGCCAACTGGGTGCACACCACCTGTTGTGCGTATGTCAGCGTGTTGCAATTCCCCCGGTTTACATGTATATGCGATGTGCGCACCGCGCTCGTGCACTTTCCGGACGTTTGAAGAATCGTCTCTTGTTTAGGGGATAAACATTTTTTCGCATTTGTCGTTACGCAGTAACTGTTTGCGTTCGGTTGTCTTATCTTTCTGTTGCTCGTTTAAGCGTGGCGAGGTCTGCCTGACGTGTTCATCCCTTGCGCGTGTAAAATTGCGGCAAGTATGTGCGCAGCATTGCGAAGTATGCCAAAGCACACGCAAAAATTGCCCAATAATACATAGCGTAACAGTTGCGCAAAAGTGCATAAATGGCTAATTTATGACTCACGTGGAGGAGTAACACGCTTTTTTTTTTTTTTTTTTTTTTCATTTTCGTACTTTTTCCCAAAACGTAGCAGCCATTTTTTCCCCCACACGGTATGCAAGTATGCATATGAACATACACGGATAAACGCGCTAAATTAACAGACAAATTTTCCACAGATAATCCGCGCCCCGCAGAACTGCTTAAAATTATTTTCCAAATGGATCAATTTCAACATATAAGCGAAAGGTAAAAATATTCCTTCTGCTGCACGGGTGAGTGTTGTATTTTATATATTTTTTTTCCGAAGTGAACGGGATAGAAGAACTGGAAACATAAAACTGCAGAAGAGTTTTTTTTTTTTTTTTTTTTTTTCTCCCCATAATATCGATCGCTGATCTGGAAAAGAAGGCCATATTGGTAACACGTACACACGTCGCTGTGTGAGAGACACTAAGTTGAAGTAACTTCCCTTGGTGGAAAAAAAAAAAAAAAAAAAAACATCTTCCACAAAGTGATAAGACAGAATGGGAGGATTTGCAAGCAAGAATATGGAATATTACAACTACGCGAGTATGAAGCTGTTAGACAGGGACAAATACACAAATGAAGAGGAAGAAGAAGACGGCCACTACTGTCAGGATATGGACATCCGAGAAACAATTCAAAAGGCGAGAGAAATAAAAAATTGTAACTATAAGGAGTCGATGGATTTATATATAAAAGCGTTGAAGATGCTAAAAAAGTTAAAAGATAATAACTCTAAGATATATAAAAATGTCCTCGAATTTGAAATAAGACCACAAGAAATAGCTAGCAGTGTATCGTTAAACCCTAGTGTAAAAGATAATATGCACATGAAAAAAGAGGGTAATATAAATTACACGTGTTCTGCACCAAATGATAAGCAAGCCATATCGATAAATAATAAAATTGCATCTTTGTATAACGAAATTGCAGACCTTTGTTGCATTCACGATTTTATAGAAAAGTCCCTCTTTTATTATGATAAGGCTTGTTCATATAACCCTTCAAAAATCGATTATATATACAAGAAAGGGGTTTTATTTCAACAAATGAATGACACGGAGAGGGCCATTAACACCTTCAAAATTATTTTGTCCTCGGAGCCAAACCACATTCCGACATTGTTTTCGTTGGGTAATTTGTACAGGTATATAGATAACCATATTGCCCTTTCTTACTTTGAGGCGATCCTCAAAATCGAGCCCAATAACACCGAAGTTTTATCTCTCATTGCTTCCTGCTATGATAACTTGGGTAAACTGAATGAAGCCATTTCGTATCAGAATAAGGCCGTCGAGATCGACCCCGATAATTTCAACCACAAGAAGTTTGCCCAGAAGCTCATCGAAATGAAGTCGCAGAATTGAGTTCGCCCCTGCGGTTAGCCGCTCTTCTAAGCGGCGTGCGTGGTGGCGTGTGTGGCGGCGTCATTAGGCCATGCTCCACTTGGTAGCGCCCCTTGGCCTCTCCCTTTTTTTGTGATATGCCCCTGATCGAGATTAATTTTGTTCCCTCCTTTTGTACGCGGACATGCCGGTTTTACATATGTGTGCACGTGGTGATCACCCGCGAACAAGTGTACACGTGCACCTATACACATGGTCCCTTCTCAATACATGCAATGCATTGCAGAGGTATCCCCCCGCGAGCTGCATACCCACCAGTGACCTTTCCTTGTGTGTGCGGCGTTTTGTTCTTTCCCCATAAATAAATTGTTAAATCGGTTTACCCCGCGTGTATGTGCCCATGTGTGTATCCCCCCCTGTATGTGTTTTTCTTTTACTCTCCACCCTGCCAATTTTGCCTCAATTTTTAACCGAAGCGTAAGTGCATACCTACGGATGCCCCGCAGCTGCGCATGTTCACCAGTACAATTTAAAATAAGAAGACACGCGCGCGCGTAATTAGTACATGTGGACAAAGTGGCTCGAATCGCCTTTGCCCCTCACCAACTAAGGGAGAGCAGCAGAGTGATGGTAGCTGCGGTCTCGAAAGTGTACACAAATGGGGAACAATATATATATTTGTTTGATTCACAAAATGACAAAAAAAAAAAGCACTGCATTGCGAACGGGGGTGGTGCCACCATCGCTACAAAAAAAAAAAAAAAAAAAAAAAAAATACAAAGCAGTGCAATCGGGAAATCCAAATGGGAAAACATACAAAATTCGTATTTAACAATTTGATGCAAAGCGAGGTGGCACAAAAACAAAAGTGCCCTTGTCCTCTCCCCACTAATCGTCGAAGGTCGATAGGAACAGGGACTCCACAAAATCGAACAGAACTTTGTGTATCCATATGTACGGCCTGATGCCAGACAAAAACAAGCCCTCATTGCCCCTCTTGTATAACAAATAAATGAGGTTATTATTTTTTGAAATTTTTATAATGTCAAAATGAGTGAAATGGAAATTTCTGGAGTCTGAGCAGAAAATAAAAACCAGAGGGAACTGAAAATGCTCTATATTGTTCGAAATAAATTGGTTGGCTGAATCTTGTAGCATGTACAAAAAAACCTTTAATAATTTGTAATCCTTTGGATAAAAAAAATGGGGAATTATGATGGACATGTCACTGGTAGACACAAAACTGCTATTGCGCTTAAACTCCTTTTTCTCATTAAGGAAATTTATTTCTTTTGTGAATTGGTAAAATTTCTGGCTCCCGCAAAAGTTGAAATACGTTTCTTCGTTAAAATATGTACATATATATATCCACACTAGGTAATTATATACGTTATAAATGAAGGAAAGGTTAAACAAAAACTTTTCTTGCGCGTTTCCTTGAAAGTTGTTTTCTTCAAAATATATTTTCCACTTGTCGTAGATAGCCTTGGCATTAAAATATGCTTTCATTGCGCTTTCGAACGATTCGTCACGTGCGGAATTTCCCTCGTATATTATTTTATTTACCTCTTTCTGTGCGGCGTGGTGTTGGTCCTTCAAGAGTGGCACCCCGTCCGGAGAGTCCCCCAGGTGGACGGAGCAATCGTAATTGGGAGACACCCCATTTGCGATGTCACAATCGTTGGGGAATTTGGCGCTCCTGTCTTCCTGGCCACACAACAATGATATGTCCGCTTCGAAGAAATTCCTCTGGACGCAGGACTCACGCGGCGTGGAAGAGCGTGCCACCTCACCGTTTCCATTCACAATTGGCACATGTGCGCTGCTAGACTGATCTCCTAAATTGTCACCATCATGATGATTCTGCCAGAAGGCAGGGATCCCTCTGAAGAAGCTGTAATTCGTTCCGCTTTCTCTACTCTTGTTGGTGGTGCTAAACATATGAGTGTCATCCTCATTGGTCATGTGTGTGCGATATATATCGAGGCGTCCATCATGCATGTCGTTCGGAATGGATTCATTGGCACTGCTACGCTTGATGTTGTGAAGACCCTCACTGTGACTGCTTCGTGTAGTTTTTCCTATGCTCAGGAAAATAGCCTTCTTACCAATTACATTACACCGACTTTCGTTTTGGTAATTGTCATTGGGACAAGTGTTAAAAATGCCGAGGGAGGAGCCGTTATCATCAGCATTTGTTGCTTTAATGGGGTAATTAGAGACAACTCCAACGTTTGCATTTTCATCCACAGCAATTTCTCCATTGTTAATTGATAAGTCAGCAGCGGAGTTTCTACTTAAGGCAGCTTGGTTGTCATCCCCATTATTAACGCCTCTGAGGCGCTGTTCTACTTCCTTCCTACTTTTGGGCAATCCAAAGAGTAAGGTACCCCCCAAGCTACGTCGCCCCACCCCTTGGCTACCTCTCCTATTTGGTGCCTCAAAACTGACACGGTGAAATAAAGACGCCTTGAAAAACTTGGTCAACTCACTCGTGAAGGAGAAAAAGTATCTCTGCTTAATGAGGGTGGAAAAGGATTTTAAAAAAATATGCGCAGAATAAAAAACTGTATGTATTAAGGAAAATTTTTTTTTTTGTGTCTCCTTAAAATCATCTGGATAATTAAATATGTCAAACATATTATTGTAGGAAAAATTTATTAACAGGCATATTTCTTTTGTGTGTTTTTTTTCATATTCATCACATGTGGAGGTATCTGAATAATTACTTTCTTCTTCTGGTAATAGTAAATTTTTATTTTTAATAAAGGAGTTTATCATCAATTGATCTCTGTCCAGCATATTTTTTTCCTGTTGTGTTTTTTTGCATTCAGGGTTTTTGAAATTATTTGTGATTTTATTTTTTATTCGGAAAAAGCTGTACCTAAATTTGTGCGACATGCCTGATGCGTCCTCCCCTTGTCGTCCCTCCTTCATCATCTTTGCTTCTTTATTTCGGAATTTGTCAAGTACGTGTACTTTTATCATTTTTTTTTTCTTCTTCACCCAACTTGTATTAGCGTCGGGGTGGGGCGCTTCGATCTGTTTGGATCCATCTCTGTCTTTGCGAGAGTATATATTATTTTCGTCGTGGTCCGTTCCGTTGTTCACCCCATTGTGGTCATCACTACGCTTTTCCTTGTCTTCTCCGCTTTCATCATATTGTCCCACTGCACTTTGCCCTGCTTCTTCATGGAGTCTGTCACCACGCACTGTTCCGAGAGAGACGGTCGGCTCATCGCCAACGAGTTTTTCCCCCACACCTGCCGCAGTATGGGCCACACGAGGGTTCGCCCATTGGTCACTATCCTTATTGTTGAAATGGGGATTGCTCTCCTTATCGCTGTGATCGTCACTTCTGTTCCTTTCACTTTTACAGTTATATTTAAACATATCATCATACAAGCTTTTGTCCCCTTCCATGGCAGTAGCTGCGTTAAATTCGCTCTCCTTGACGCAGTTGTTTTTTCGGCAAATGTCTTTACTTTTGTTAAAAAAATTTAATTTAGATATATTCATAAATGACTCTATTTTTTTCTTTTTCCATTTTTCTTTCATATTTTTTATTTTTTCCATATGTTTTTTTTTTTTTTTTTTTTTTTGCAAAAATGGCTGAGTCATTATTAAGGTCACTCTTTTCTTCTTCCTCTTCTTCGTGTGTGTGTCTGTCATCGGATTCGTCGTCTCCCCCTTCGTGATGGCAATCTGTATAATCCGAGGAGTCCTGGTCAGCTTCGTACTGTTTGTCCCCTATCCCTTCTGTCCTGTGCCCCTCAATGGGTCTGTTATTCTCCACATGACGGTGGTTACGTCTCATGGGGTTATTATTCATCTTGTCGTCCACTCCATGTGTACGTATCACACGGAGATTTGTGCCTTCGTAAGAAACTGCATATGACTCATTCGGGTTTTCTTCCATAACCTTCCTACTACTGCTAGTAGCCTGTCCGTTCCCCCGTTCATCCTTCACATGATCATGTTGCAAAATGGAATTTTCCTCATTTCGGAGTTTCATGTCATATATCAAATTTTCAATGTTCCATTTTTTGATTTCCTTAAAGTAGTTTTTCCCATTTGTGTGTTGTTCACTATCGACTTTTTTTTTTTCTTTAAAGAAAATATTCATAATATTATTTTTATAACTCTGTTGATTTATCATTTCATCTTCTTCTTCACTTTTGTTTGCTTGTCCAATTTTCGAATTGTTTTTTTTTTTCTCTTTACTCTGATTGTTTAATGGGTCTAATTTCTGGTCGACATTCCCCTTCACTTTGTAATTTAATAGGGGATACTTGTACGGATTAGCATTGTGTAAATTGAAATGGGGCGTTTTGCTATTATCACCTGCTGTTTTGTTTTTTTTTTTTTTGTAAATTTTTTCTAAAAAGTAATTTAGCAGAATATTTGTGCCGTCGTTGAAGCCGAGGAAAACGAAATTGTGATGTTTAAAAATTGATTTAAAATGTGCCATGGCAATATTCAAATCGTTGTAGTTGTCGCTATAGAAGGAGAATGGGCATGAGAACAGCGGCGCGTTCAACTGAGCGTTTATACCCTCCCCATCATGTACCTCCTCTCCGTCATCCCTCGTTTTTACATTTGCACAAGTCTTCAACGTCTCCTTTAATTTGAGATCATCACATGCATTTCCGTTTCTATCACTGCTGTCGACCTTTTCGAAGAGTGGACTATCAACCTTGTTATCATCTTCGGACACTCGCTTCTTCTCATCATGGAGGAAATTCTCACTTAACAGGGTTTCTTTAACTTGACCTTTCGTGCAAGACGCAGCAACCTGTTGAGGTTGCATTTCACTGTTCCCATGCACACAGCCATCGACGTACTGCTGGTCTACATTGCCACTTCCCTGTTCCCCAATCGCGGCACCATTTCTACATTCCACATTCGCAATATTCAGTATGTTAGCATTTTTGTTGCTAAAAATGAACGGAATGGAAAAGCCAAAATTGATATTTATATGAACATGGACGCAGATATAACCCAACAATTTGGCGATGACGGTGAAGGAGTCTATTTTAACGTCCTTCGCAAGTACGTAATATAGGGGGACGCCATTTTTTATTTCTTCTACGTTTAGATAATTGTAAAATATTTCCGGGACGATTATGATTATTCCTTTCACGTTCTTGAACTTCCACTTATTCATGTGTGTTCTTATTTTATCCTCCACGGCGTTTTCGCTCCTTCCGTCCCTATCAAACTTATTTTTCTGTTCGGGTGCGTACTTTTGTGAATCTGTCTTCAGTCCATTCTGCTTCCTACCTGTGCGTACTTCCGTCGATTCTTCTACAATGGATGACTTCCCCGAGAGGGAGGTCTCATGTCCACATGATTCGTCACATGCATCAAATTGTTCAACCTGGACTTGGGATTTCTTCCCTGTGGTGGGTTGTTCCTCCATTGATGCTTCTTTCTCCATTGCGACATCTCCCTTCACTGTGATATCTTCCCCCTGTGTGGCACACATACCATGGTTCCCATTTGTCATGTTCTGTTCAAGGTGATCCTTTGGTGCCCCTCCCTCGGGTGAGTCCTCTCGATTCACATAGGGCTCACTAGACTCCTTTAAGAATTCCTCCTTAAATATGCAAGCAAATTGGAAATACTGAATTAGGACGGTATCTTGCAGGTAGAGAAATTGTACATGAGGATCATGTGTAGGTCCTATATTTAGTGCGGCTTTCCATTTCTGGTCAATTAAAATAAGTTTGATTTTTTTCTCCTGTTTTATATTTACCAAGTCATACAAATCTATTTCGCAGTTGTCCTTTTTCGAACTTTCACAAATTTTTTTTTTTTTCTTAACAGTACAATTGGGTAAGTAGTAGTCCACAATTACAACTCCAAAATTGTTATTATTAAGAACTTCCCTCGTGTTGATTTTTGACTTGAGGCAAATATTCTCGTACAATCTTGTATATTCAATAATGAAGAAGAACATTTGCCACAATTTATTTTGTACCCATTTTTTAATTTGGCCAAGAGTTGTTCCTATGAACTGAGGTATGTTTAGTATTCTTTCCCATTTTGTATTATCTTGGTTGATATTGTTTGTTTTTTTCTTCTTTTTCTTTTCTGTTGTTTTTTTCCATAGGAGTTGATTTACGTATGCCTTCTTTTTCTCTAGATAAATGTAGAAGATGTGCACAAACAGCTGTTGCAGAACTGGGTGTATGAGGTAAAGCGGGCTCCGGTACACTCGCTCCAGGCTGCTGCATCTGGTGTGTATGGGGTAGGAAGAGAGAGTATTACACATTGTACAATGAAATTGAGTGTACACAGAGAGCAGGGGGGGTGGAGCCTTTTGATGTTATGCTTCTTCCCTTTGGTGGGTAGATTTTTTTGTGGCATGCTCCTACAGGGGTTGGTTAGCACACCAAAATGTTAAACAACCCGACAGGTGACGAGACCTCCTGCCTGTCCTTACCCCTTGAGAATCCGCAGAGATTTATTTCCAATCGAAAAGACCAACCCCTTTGCACAAAAATTATAATCAAATATAAAATACAAAATTAACAAAATAAGGAGGACGGTAAATAAATCCATTATTGTCACTCTTTAGGGAATTCTAATGGGAGGGTCTCGGCGTGCTTGGCCTTTTCCTTAGGCAGGAAAAAACATCTTGCGCCCAGCGTTTTCAGCGGTCCGAGGTGGGCGAGGGTTCGTACATGCGTCAATTTGTACACACATGAAGCGTGCGGGCTTGTACACCCAGGTCAGCAAATTCGCTTGCGCTCGTTGGGTAAACGAACAGGAGCAAACTCGTGTGAGCGCAGGTTGTGCAGTTCATTTTGCATCTCCCAAGCGCTATGACATGATGGCGGGGGGGGTGATAAGCGTACGCACAACACATCAGCGCGGCGTTTACAAAAAGAAGTTCATATGCCCCCACGGTGAACCTTCGTGCAAACCAGCACCTAAAAGGTTCCTAACAAAATATGTAAGGAAAAATGGCTACAAAAAAAAAAAAAGGGATGGCACATGTATTTCGTGTTTAGTGGATTTCCTCAGTGGAATTTTTTTTTTTTTTTTTTTTTCTTATTCATAGCGAGTAAATTACATTTATCCCTTCGTAGTTGTCAAACCATGGGCACCTTTGCATCACTGACAAAATTAATTACGGATTCGGAAGTTGCCCTTTGTGGATATGCCAGTAGGCGGACCGCGCACAGTGCCCCTATTTTAGCGGCAAATAAGAAAAGGGCACAACGAAGGTGGCGTAGCGCAAAAAAAAAAAAAAAAAAACGCTGCTTCGTGTTTAAATTTTTTTCCCGGTAAGGCTAATGAAGCGAATGCGCAACGATGCGTGATGTGATACGCCCACACGTAGGCGCAAGTGCGAAGCAAATTTGAGATTAAACAAAGCCGCCGAAAGGGGGATTGCGCAGTACAAGAGACGGTAACGCCGCAACGCCGAAGGAGTTAAGCGGACGTAGGGATACGCCAACTCCACATATCTCACTTTACAGAGGCAAAATAAACCCCGCAGTGGAGAAAAAACAAAAACCACACCGCATATTCCCCTGAGAAAACATGGCGTCGAAGAATAAAAGCTACAGAGACGACCATGCCCATGAATACCACCATGGAGGTGACAGGGCCAAAGGGAAATTGTACACCCGAGGAGGTGGTGGAGGATGGGACGCGTACGACAAGGAAAGGGACGAAACCTCAGAATATCACGACAGGAGTAGAAATGCCCACCAGGATAATTTTGCCACAAAAGATTACTACAACAGGCACAAGGATAAGGGCCACGGTAGGAAGAACGAGTCGAGGCATGGCGACAGGGAGGACAGAGCGGATCGGCCATACGACAAATATGATGAAGACCGACACGAGTACGACGCTATGAGGGGTAAGAGGAAGTACATAGATAGGAAAAAGGGGCGAGGGAGCCCAGAAAGGGGATACAGCGGGAAAGGCGACTCGGACTATTATGACAGGTACAGGAGTAACAAAGCGGAAGGAAGTGCGGATGACAGGGAGTGGGAAGGCAGGAAGAACCGGCCTACCCATCACAGCTACGGCAAAGATGATTATAGGGATGACTATAGGGATGACTATAGGGACGACTATAGAGATGGCCACAGGGATGGTTACAGAAAAAGCGAGCACAAGTCCTTTTCCAGGTTTAAGGAGAGGGATAGGAGGAGGTCGTACAGTAGCTGCAGCGGGGACGATAGCCACAGTGAATATTCGCCTGGGTCGGATGATGGGCATGATAAATACCGCTCGTACGGCCACAAGAAATACAAAGTAGGGGAAAACTCAGATGACCAAGGGGAATTCACAAAAGGGAGTTACTCCCGCGGGGGGTACTCGTATGGAAGTCACACTCACAGTGGCAATAACCGTGAGGGACTCACAATGAAAAAAATTAACAATGTAAACGATGTGTTAGAAATGAAGAGCAACATAGAATTGTCCAGATTCATTTTTATTTATAAGTTGGGGGAAAATATAACAGAAGAAGAAATAGATGATATGATGAGGAACACAGCCATCAGTAATGCATTCTCCCTACCACTCAACATATACATAAATAGGTTGTCCTTTTTTTGTGTGAAGGAAGAACTCTTCGTAAGGGAGGGACTCGAGTTTATAAAGAATAACTCCTACTTCAACAATATCCAGTTGAGTATAATGAACACACAAATGAATAATGAAATTAACGATGACCGATGTTGTATCGTTGAGTTTCCATCCAATGAAGCTTCAGCAAAATTGTTTTCTTTGTATGAGAAGAATAAATGCTGCATCCAAATTGGAAACAGCACCTCATATATATTTCCCCTATTCAAAATGAAGAAAAAAATGGGTAAAATTGTGGATGATAAACAGGCACAAAAAAAATTCTATGATTGGTACTGCTCTTATTGTAACTTTCTTAACTTTTCTCGTAGAAGTACTTGCTTCTTTTGCAAGGAAACGAAAACTAGTGATGCGAAATTGGTGGAGAGCGAGACGAAAATACCTTCTAATGTGTTTATGAAGAATGGGGCCATGATGGGCACCGCTGCTGCGCAAGAAGGGGGACCCTTCGGGGGGAACTGTGTATTTACCGGCATTCCCAATGCGGAGCAAGCGGCGTTTGGCCTTGCCGGAAGTAACGCCGCCCTTGCGGGGAACGCTGTGTCTAATTCGGAGGCAGACTTCAGTCAGCAAGGAGTCAATCCCGCAGTTGAGGCTGTCGCATCTGCTAGAGGAGCCCCATCCGTTGGAGTAGCTGCTGGGGGGGGAATGTACCCGGCGAGTGCCTTCCCCCTGCAGCAAGTGGAAGAAAACTCAACAGAAAATTTCGAAACGTCCATCCAGGAAATCTTGGAAGATGTGCAAAAAACGAACATGCTGATATTGAAAGATATAGATGGCAGTATCCCAAGTAAAGACCTTTTAAAATTCATCAACGAAGTGTTTGAAAATAGGCACGTGAATTATCTCTACTTGTTTAATGACGTAAGAAGCTCAAGTAAAAGGAAAGGGTTTTGCTTTGTCGAATTTGAGAGGGAAAGTTACGCAGAACAAATGATGAATGAACTGGAAGGAAATTTCTACATCAATTATAAAAATAATTTTTTTAAATTGGATTATGTGTATGAAAAGGGAAAGGAATACTTTTTCCATTCCATCAATTTGGCAAAATTGAATATTGACAAATCCGCAGCCACTGTTCTTATGAAGAATTATATTCCTCATTTTAACTTTTTTGTTAGCTACATGGAAACTGTGGTGAATATGATGAGCATAAAGAATTACACCTTCTTCCTTCTTTGGTCCTCTCAAGTGATTATACTTAAGAAGGAGAAACCGGCACTCAGTGAATTTTTTTTTGATTACAATACGCAGTATTATTATCACCCCGTTTTTCAAATTTATTTTGACCAAAATACCAATTTTTATATGTCCCTTTCTAAGGGGTACTATATGTGGAATGACAAGATTAAGTGCCTCGTGAGGATGTACATGGGGAATGAGGAACAAGTAAATGTTGATCATGGCGCGGATGATGATAAGACAGTGGGGATACACACATCAGCCGCGTTGGTCACTTCAGACCATGAGGAGAAGCATCAGGAGGGAAACAAGGAGGACACTTCTTGGGGACAACTACACCAGGCAGTGGACAGTGGTGATCTCATCGCTCAAGAGAATAACCCCATCTCTGGAGGAAGTGGCGTTCCTAATAGCGCTGCTACCCAGAGCGGTGGTAACGAACACATGGGTGCTGTGAACCCTACCGCTAACGCAAGCGGTGACGGAGGAAAGGTCGCTGATCCAATTTTGCCCTCTAATGAAGATACCTCAAAAAATACAGCCCTAGATAAAATATCGAGCTTAGTGGAAAGAGCCAAGATGATAGCCCTGGCCTCCAAAAAGAACATTGAGCAAATGAACATGAACGAAGCGAGTTCAACCAATGTAGAAAAAAAAAGCAAAGAAATAATTAAAAAGCATTTCGCTACCGACTCGGCCGATGAAGATAACGACGACCCTTCTGACAACGAAGAGTTGCACAAAAAAGGACACCCAAACAGCAATGCATATAACAAGAGTACCCAACTGAATAAGGGCCCCACCAGAATCACCAACACAGCCATGGAAGGTGGCAGTAGTTACCACAAAGCATGCTACAAGGCGAAGAGTTCTTTGATTGAGAGTCTCGCCAAAGTACATAATAGGGGGCAGTGGGCTGGCACTACGAAGGAACACAATAATAATGTTAGTAGTTTGAATGAACCTAATAGGGTACCAAATGCAGAAGCAGCCAGAGGAGAAGGCACAAACGAGCACTCCTCCAACAGTGGCAACGATTTGAACATTTGTTTTATTTGTCTGCGGAAGTTTGCAAGTGCGCATCTTTTGCAGAAGCATGTTGATATGTCCTCCCTGCATAAAAAGAACTTCCAGAGTATGATGGACGTTGGGAGTGCTGGTTAGTGCGACCCATGTGTGGAGGGCATTGTTGAGTGGTTTGCAGCGGGAAAAAGTACCCCCCTTTTGTTGGGGGGAGTCATTTCATGCGCACGTTCATATTTGTGTGCAAATTTGTTGCTCAATTTGCTGAACCACTTGAAGTAATTTGTTTTAAAGAAATGGAAAATTTTACAACGTTGCACAGAGCATGTGTGTACTTTCGTCTTCCCCACTACAGCGTCATTTGTTGCCCCACTTATGCGCCCGCAAACGGGCATTCGCAACATTCCCCTCGTTACGAAACGTACATGTAGCATGTTCACATGTACCATTTGGATCACCAACTTTTTTTCACACATCCGTTTTACTTTTTTTTTTTTTTTTTTGTTACGCTGTTGGACCTTTTGCGTGTACCTGTTTTGGTGCCTCACAAAAATGGGGCAAAAAAGGGGGGCATAATTAAATATAAAAGGAAAAAGTAGCCAATTTTGGGGCTTGTTCCCCACTTGAAATAAATCAAGGTGGAGTGTAAAACTTTCACAGGGACGGTATTTACCGAACTTTTGTGAATGGATACTAATATATTCCCCGCCTTTTCGGGGCTTCAAATTTGCGCGTGCGTTGACCTTTACGAATGCAGGGGCGGTTCACCTATTGACACTGTCAGGCAACATTTCTGTATTTTTTTTTTTTTTTTTTTTTTTTTTTTTTTTTTTTTTTTTCTCCATTTCCCCCCAATTGGCGTGATACGTGGTCATGAAAAATTCCCCGCAACCCTTCCACCTCTGGCTAGCGAAAGAGAGCCACTCCATCTCTTCTTATTATTACACTGTGGATATATCACTACAGGCCGAATGGTGATACGTAGGTATCATTCCGTTCCAATGTGGGGTCCGTCATTGCATGGGTTGGTTGCGTGACTTATTTTGAGGCCTGTTTAAACGGCATGGAAATTGTGTGGGAACGCTTTTCTCTGTGGCGACCCTCTCCCGCTTTGCGCAGGTCGTGCCATTTTGATGCCCAATTTGTTGGCTCGCTCGGCAAGGGTGCTCATTTGGTGTCACCGGGACGAGGGTAGCTCCTGAATTGGTGAGTTCACTTGTGTTGCCGGCAAAGGGATGTACACGTAGGTGGCTTCAGATATTCGCAGCTTTACGTGTTGACGTGTTCACACCTGCGCACCATCAGAGTTGTACCGCGAGCATGCACAAGAATGAAGACATCGGGGGGAAGGGCCCCTCGGCGAACGAGGAGCGGATAGGGAGAAACCACCTCATCTTGGTGGTGGATGTAAATTTCATGATATGGTACGAAGGACTGAAAATCAAGTTCGACAAGAACAACGTAAAAACATTAAGCCTACCAGAGTTTCTAAAGTCTACGTTTCATTTCGTTCGTTTCTATTGCCTAATGAGCAATGCAGAAAGAATATGCATCATAGCTACATCCCAACGGAGCTGTAAAATTTTGTACGAAAATTACGTGTCCTATGCAAAGAACAATTTGACCGAAAGGGACTACTGTGAGGAGGCATACAATAAGCTAATTGAATTTATAAGTGAAAATAAAACAGAACAGATGATGGAGAGTAGCTTGTCATCAGCACTGGCAGTAGCTTTATGCTACAATCATCGAATCGTTAACATGTACGAGAATATGAAATCGAGGATATTCCTACTGGACATTTCGAATCAGAGTTATGTGTATACAAATCAGTACACACAATTAATGAACATAGCATATAATGCCAAAAGGAATAATATTATAATTGATGTTTTTTCTTTAAACTCTAAAATACAGCTATTGGAACAAATTTGTAATATTACAAATGGCCTTTATATTGATAGCAGCATTTTTTTTAACGTAAATTGTTCAGAAAATATGGAGGATGTTCTTACGCAGACGATGATTTTTTGGTTCCTGCCTTCTAACAATACAAGGAAATATTTTTCCAATACGTATTTAAATGACGACACGAACATTGCTGTTTGCTGTTGCCATAACAAGCAGGTGGACATTGCTTACATTTGCTCCTGCTGTTTAGCTATTTACTGTTCTGAGAAGGATGATAAAACGAATAAGGATAGAACTTCTTGCTTTGTTTGTAAGACCCGGTTTACAAAGGCGCTTTTGCGCAACAAAATTGTGTCCGACTTGGACTTTTCCTCCATTTGATGTGGGCGCATGTCTTCGTCGGGAAGGAAAAGTACACACGTGCGTAGTGCTTCTCCTCAGTGGGTGTACAACGTCGTTGCGACATTTCTCCTCTATGGTGAGTGGGTCATGTCTGCACCAAGGCGAGTGCGCGTCATCATCCGCTTGTAGTGTTCCCAATTGCGTTGCTATATTACTCTATTGCTTTGTTTAGCCTTTTTTTGTACCACTGTTCTCCGTAGCAGCGGTAACAACTTTCACAAAAAAATAAAAAACTTCCACATTCGTGCAGTGTGCACTTTTGTGTAAAACATAATAGTGATTTTTTTAATTATCTTAAAAAAAAAGGAGTTAAAAAAAAAAAATAATAAAATATATTATTCAGTTGTAAAAGGGGAGAAAAAAGAAAAAAAAAATTCGCTGTATACGCACAAGTGTACGTATGCACGCTTACAAAAAGGCATATATACACATAGACATATACAAGCATGAATTTAAATTAGAAGGCAAAGGGGGGGAGGTGGAGGATGCGTAACAGAGGAGCACGTATAAACAACACATGCTTTACCACCTGCTTGTAGACATGGACGTATACATTAAACTAAAAAAAGCTATCACAAGAAGAGAGAGTTGGCATAAAATCAGAAATGATTAATGGTATGAGAGAAAAAGTAGGTGCGTAAAATCATTAAAAAAAAAAAAAAAAAAAAAAAAAGGTAGAGGAGGTGCAGGCGTACTTCCATAAATATATACAACAACGCCTGTACGCTGGTGCGAATGGGCCAAGTAGCAATTGGCTATAGTGGATGAGGGCAAATCTGCGCGAATATATATAGTTATACATTTGTACATTTGTACATTTGTGCATTTGTACAGAGGTATATACTTGACATATGCGAATACGCCCTGCCCACGCAGTGCTCTACCCATATAGACGAAAAAGAATGAGACAAATTAATTTCTTTTTTTTTTTTTTTTTTTTTTTCCTTCAAGTCATGTGTCAAATTTTTTATATGAATTTTTTACACTTAATCGGTAATAGGTGCAGTGGGGGCATACCATATCTGGCTCTCATTTCGCTATATTTCTTCAGTGTGTATTGTGTGGGACAAAACCAACCGAATGCAAAGGAATGAGCGAAATGGGCATAATCACCAAAAGTAATATATACGCGCGTTACTGGCCCTGACTATATAGCTGTGCATGAAAAAGGTACACGCTGAAAGTGTGCTCCCTGTCTTGGTAAATGTAGAATTGAATTCGTTGAAAATGTTTACATGCAGTGGGAAAGAGGTCCTCACCCCGTCCATGGACCGTAAATGAAATCCGCGGAAACCTGCTTCATTTATTGGTCAAACTGCTTCACTTATCCGTCCCACTGCTCCGTAGTTGACTCATCCGGCGAGCCCAAATATGAGTGTCCGCCACCAACTAACCAGTCCTTCCAAACATTCTGACTTCAGGGTCCAGTTAAACTTCCCCGTTGAAGGGCAACACGAGCTTCTTCCCATACCATTTCGCCATCGCAAAGTAGTAGAAAAAGTCAATGTACAAAAGAGTCTGAATAAATCCCCCTAGCCAACCCACGACATTAACATATGGTTTATCATCAAAGAAATATCTGTAGATCCAATTCAATATATAAAAGGCTCTGTACATGCCCATAGTGATAACATAATGGGAGGTGATATTTTCCACTTCTCTTTGTTTTTCTAACAGAACAAGTTGAGGAAGAATTGCCACACTTTCAAGCCATATGGAAAAGGTCCACAGGATGTTGTACAGGTTGTACGTCTTGCAGGTTAGAAGGCTCAGTACTGCACGGGTGGGAAGAGAAAATAAAACGAGCATGCGTGTGTGTGGGGGTGAATTGCAAAAAAAAGCTTGCGCGTATGCGAGACATAAAACCGCACACATGGGAAGAACAATGTGTGGTTGAACAAATTTGAGCATCTGCTTTGCCGTCAGCAGAACAGCTTGCTTTGCGTACCTAGACAGGGTGGGATCAAATACTTCTCACTCTTAAAATTGTCCACTTTCCTATTGTACGTTTGCGAGATGGGCAGCTTGAATCGGATTAGATATATCGTGTACGCTATAGTAACTATGAACGTTATTTTCATGACAGTGTTGTAGAAGCTCACGAACACGAAGAACAGGTCGATGTATCTGTAGGAAGGGAAGGCGGCATATACGGTTGTCATTTGGGTGCATCGGGGTAAATGCTTTCTGTGGGGATGCAGAGAACGGGCCCCCACGAATGCAACTTTACAATTGCCACTATACAATTGCGCTGCTCCCAGCTGTAGAAGCCATCGCAGCGACGGAATCGACCCCCGTCTGCCTTACCTGCATAGGAAGACTATCAAGTACAACTCCTGCATGCGACATGATATTCCAATACAATTCTTAGACTTCTTCAACTTCATAATAAGTATATACATACTTACGAGATGTAAAACATCTCCTATCAGCCTGAATATATTCATTTTGTCATTAATTTGTTTTTTTTTTTTAAATGGGTTTTTTAAGGGTTTATTCTTTATGGAGGCAAGTTTGTGCCAACGTTGCTTGTGTTCTATCTTGGCTGCTTTATAGAAAATTTTGACGCTTCATTCAGGAGGTTACGGGGTGCCTAAAAGGAAGCATTATATAAAATTTAACAGGTGTGTACGTATGTTGTATGTATAGTCAGTGTGGATAATCATAAAAGCAAAAGAGGCACAGGGGCAGGGGTGTGGACAATATCGTTCCGGATGGAACAGATTCCTTGTGTATGCTCCGTGCCGACACCCGTTCTGTGCCCACATGTGCGTGGAACTTGCACGTACTTTAAGTTGTAATCACTGAATGTGTACTGCCAGCGGGGTAAGAAGCCCGATATTTGCTCAATTGGTAAGATTTATTTTGTATTTATAGGGGCAAAAAAAAAAAAAAAAAAGGGGAAAAAAGAAAATCGTCGTTTGCGCATATATTCTCATATATACACGTGCACTCCTCTGGGATGCTAGAACTTGTATGAATATAGCCTCTTCGCCTGCACAAGCATGTTTACACGAGCGTGTTTCTTCCTCAAGCGTGCCTTTTCATATTCACCACAGTGCGCAGCTTGATAAATACAATTCATTACACAGTTAAGTGTACAGGATGCTGTAGCATGACAAAGTGTGTTGTGCGTTATGCACGTATACATAAATTAAATCATTCCTTTTCGGTCGATGCGAAAAAAGGTTGCTACTACTATAATGTGGGGGGATTAGTCGCATAGGCAAATGTGTTATGCGACATGTACACTTAACATATATATATGTTAGCGTACAGTGATACGTTACAAGTATATATATATATATATATATACGTACCCTCGTATGGTTATCTTTTTTTTTTTCATAAATGCGTCATGCATACATATTTGGCAATTTAGTTTCGATAGCTGGCGCAAGTGCGGCGGCGAGGGTGCGACCAACAAAGCGTGAATACAAAACTGGTAAACTGAAATATCTGACTTTATGCAAAAGGATCACGCTGACGTTATGCGCGGTAAAAATATATATATATGAAAATTGTAAAAGAAAATTATGTACGAAAAGTTATATACCCAAATTACCAACTCAAGAGAAAGGAACCTTATACAAACGTAAAATTTAAAAAATGCAGTTTGTTGAGTGCAGCAGGAAACTTTGGGTTAATTCTCATACAAAGTGGAAAAAAAAAAAAAAAAAAA